TTTCTTGAGATCTTCTATACATTTCAGTAATAAATTGGAGATTCTGCCTTTTATGTTCATCGTTTAAATTATGCACTCGAAAGAACTTATACTAGTGGAATTTATATTTTAGTGTTCGCCGAATTTTACTATAGGACTTTCCGGATAATTTTTCAAAGTCTGAATATTCAGGATTCTCCAAAACAATTGTAATATAAAAATTAAGAAAGTAGAACTTAAGGTCGTTTACTTTAAAGTAAAGTAAAATATTGAGGTTTTCATCAAAATGTCTTTCTATTGTCTTGGTTTGTCGGCTTCTTCAGTTATATTTCAAGAAGTCATTGATTTTGAAAATCTGGATTTTGATTATAGAACTGGGTACGGAGAAAGAAGGAGAAAGCAGAAAAAATGCTTAAAAATACATCGAAAAACCAATAAATATGGAATCGTGAGTTTGTTTACCTATTGATAAAATTGATAGAGATCCTTCTGATATGCAAAATATGACGTCACATTTTTTCTAAAAAGTAAGGATTTTTATGGAATGAACAGCACAACACATTTATTGTAATGTTTTATAATTTCTACATTTGTGGTGTTTTCTCAAGAAGCACTCTCATTATTCAATTACTCTACCAAAAGTGACATATCAACCAAACTATTGAGACGATAATAAAGACTAGAATACTAGCTTTATTTCTTTTTCAATTTTTGTATTTAGCTAATATTTAGTTTCGTTAATATTTGTTGATTCTACAATTTTTTTAAATAGTATGAATACATTACATATGCTCATATGAATCATACTTAATAGTTTTTATTTGTCTCCATTCTCCATTTCATTGCTGTCCTGATTATCAATGGTTTACAAAAACCGGCAAACTGCATTAAACAGTTACTTGTTTGTAGTTTAACTCTATCTGACGATTTGTGGTAGTATATTAAGTACGAAAAGGTTGTCGCCCTTAACCATACCGTTCTGAACTCCAAATTGTGTTGAGTTTTTGACATGAAATACTCGTTAAAGATGCGTAAAAAACATATTTTTTATTTTGTTTTCTTTTGTTGGAATCGACGTTAAGGCCACCGTGGGCCACCACTGCAGAATAAATTCGCAAATAGTCCGGCAGTACATAAAAAAAAGTGAAAATCATTGGTCAGTAGATAAGTTACGCGGATTCGGCGACAAAACTTTTTTTTCAAAAAAAAAAACTTCGACAAGCTACTGTAATACTATCCAGAAAATAGTGTTTTTCTTTTGTATTTCACGATTAACTTCCGCCATCTGTCGAGAAGCGGGCGGTTATTCGGATTTAATTTAGTTTACATTGTTTAATGTAGGACCGAAGGAAACGATACGTTTCGGTCCGCGGAGTGAATACTGATCGGGAGAAAATGCAATTTGGCTCGAACGGAAACAACCGACGTCGTATTACGTTGCGCGGGGTTTGTTTTTATCGCCGCACGAGAGAGCACGTAGCAAAACGAAATTACAAGAGGGCCCTCTCAAACGACCGCCTATATATTTCTCTTCGCTTCTTTTTAAGTCGATGCGGCTTCCGCGATAGCAAAAAAATCGCTTTGATCAGTCCGAGCGGCATTCATTTCATTCACTTCTACGAGATACGTAGGACGGGAAGGGATAATAAATTCAAGGGAAAAACAATATCTATATCAACATATCTATAGATTCTGGACGTTTTCCTTGGATGATGTTGCGAAACAAAAATTTTCAAAATACCCTATTTCTCCTGCAATGACTTTGTAAAATGGTTAATTTTGAGACATTAGAATCATCTTACTTACACCATATTCTGGGATAACTCTCTTTATGCCGTCAAACTATTGAAAAAGGTTTTGTTTATTACACCCAAACTAATGACGGCAAGACTAACAATTGGCAAAAGGTTGATTTCTTTCTTGCGAGAGAGCGGTCGCAAAAATTTCTATCCCTACGGAAAGAGGGTTTTAAACTTTTAAGCGTTTTCCCCATGGCGACAGAGAATTTTTTAGAGAAAAAAATTATTAGGATATATTTTGCTTTATAAATATATCTTTTTTTTGTACGACTTGGGACAAACAAAACCAAGTGAAATTCAACTCAACCGATGTTAAATTTTGTCCTATTATCGTAGACTGATGAAAAATAGATTTAACAACGTGCTTCGCATGATTAAATAACTTTATTGCAGTGGTTTAAGAGAAAAAATGTAAATAAATGTGCTTCAAAGTTAAATAATTTGGAAGAGTCTGGGGGTCAATGACAAGTAAGATATTTTCAGCAAGTATTTAAAGTGTGATGTAGTTTGAAGACTCTTTCTTGTTAATTCATGCCGGCTGATATTTTCAGTCCTGTTGCATGCAACCGCATGTTTCTATTTGTAGACGTTTCTAGACAAGTGGTTAATCTTGGTTAATCTTGCGCCGTTTGTTGCTGAGTCAAACTTGCTAACGTTTCCCCAATCATCCGATTGCCCTCTTCAGAGCCTAACTGAAACTGTTTGTTGTATAGATTTCTATAAATTATCGGATTTTTCGTTAGTAGAAGAATTGACTACATGCAAGAATTTATCGAATAAAATTGTATGGCCTTTTTGTTTTAGTCTTAGCGCTCTTTCACGTTCTTTGAGCCTAATTGGTATTTTTCGTCCTGTCTCTCCAATGTTGAGAAATTTTTGGACAAGTGGTAAATCTGGTTTTGATGTTATATTTTTTTAGAACTTTTGATATGTGGTCAACGAGGTTTTTGAATGTAAGGAGGCACAACAGTGGCAAGTGTGGGATTGCTTTCGAGCTCATTGGTATTGGAAGGTTGTAGGTGAAGTGTACTTTGTGATGGAACGCTTAATATCTGCAAGATGGAAATTATTATAAAGAAGAGGCAGAGGTAAGCTGTTGCAATTCTGAGTTCAGTGACTCAGGCTGAGATAGTCTTACGGCTCTGTAAACAAGGAAGTTTATAACCGATGATTTATGGGCCGAATGGTGATGTGACAGTGCATTAAGTGAGCGGTGTGTGTGCGTAGGTTTGCTATAAACACAATGACCCAATGTTAGGTCTGATTTTCTATTAATTCATTCTAAGTTTCTAATTCAATGGTAAAACGTACATTAAGGCGTATAGAGTTTAAATGTCTAAGAAAACCTATTAGAGATTCTTGACCAAGAGGTTAAATACCAAAAGTATTATCGACGTAGGGTTTTCATAAGTTTAGTTTGTTCAAAAATTTGACTGTTATATAAGAAATATGTTTCAGACAAGCACTTTCCAATTAAGATGAGAAGGTTTGGTTCCAGATTCTCAGATTTTAATAGATCTAAGATGATGTTGAAAATTTCAGAAATAGGGATTCTACGGCGAAACTAACCACTTGTGTATCTTATGCAATGCTTTTTAAATGTTCAATGATGTAAAAGCAATTAAGTACGAAACTATCAGTTTTCTCTGTAAAGGGAAAGAAGCTAGGTACTTGTCCATGAGACCAAATGACAAAAATTGTCATAGACTTATTGATATGTATGGGTTCTTTCACCAATCAGTACTTTGAGACAATGTACCCTGCTTTAGCTCCTCCCCTTTGAAATAGTATATAAATAGGCACAGAGTAGAATGAGAGTCAGTCAGCAAATTTTGGTTTGGTTAACTAAAAAAAAATAATCATAAAAACACTTTCAATAAGTCAGGCCTAAAGAAAAGTTCATTTATGTTTCCTACTAAAAATTGAACGTTTTTCCGGATTTCCGTCTTGTTGCACATATTTGGCAAACAACTATTTCAAATAAATTTCCTTGCCGCAAAATTTATCAATTATCAAAAAATCCAAAAGGTAATGAAAAACTTTCTATTGCAGCTGTTCAGTTTTTACTTATAGCGGTTTCCGGGTGTGGCAAATTGTCGTTCGCTCCGGGACCCGTGTTCCGGGCAATCGTAAATTATTTCTTATTGTCTTCGGCCATTAATCGAAAGACATAACTTTGCGAGGCGTCCGCAACACCGTCGGAGCGTGCAAACACCCTTATTAATCAGGATTACGGGGTAGCTTTAGTCGGTGATACGTTGTTAAGCGATATTGTTTCCGGATTATTGACAAAACGGGGGTGCTTTGATTACGCCCGCTCGTATAGGGGGCGTTTTGCCCATATCTGCGACCGATTAAATTCGTATAGTCCAGGTTTTATCGATACAAAACAATACAGGGTGTTTAGATATTTTAATGAAATTTGGCACACACGTATTATGACTCGAGAGGCATTATTTAGTAAAACATAATAATAATAAGTGCAGATATTTTTTTTGATTTTTTGAAAAACATTTTATGGAAAGTGTTGTAATAGATAAAATACATATTTAAATAATTCCAGATAAATACACGAAATACATACCCAGGGGTACCACCAATCAATTAATGTATGGTGTGGTGTCACAGATGGGCATATTTTGGGTCCTATATTTATAAATCAAAAGTTAACTGTAGATCTTTATTTGCAACTCTTAGAGCACCAAATAAATATATCAGCGCTGATTATATGGCAGCAAGACGGTGGCAATCCTCACAATGTTGTTCATGCTAAATATTTTCTTAACATGGAATATCCCAGTGGTCGGATAGGGAACTATGGATTGGCCAGCTAACAGCCCCGACTTAACTTTAATGGATTTTTTTGGATACATAAAAAATCACGTGCACATAACTCCTTGTAATAATGTCATGGAAATTCGCCAAAGGATACCATAGGCAATCAATCAGTTAAAAGACAATCCGGAAACTAAATGCAAGACATCATACAATTAGAGTGTATGAGAATTTTTTACTTTAGTGTGTCTTGTTATTTTTAGTGTTTTCGTTCTACTTTAATTTGTAAATAATAACTGTTGCCGATTTGTCAACAACAAATGTACAAAAATATAAAGTGTGTTACATTATTGTAATCGAAACACAAAAGTTACGGCCAATTGAAATGTCATGAAGATAAATTGGACGCACGGTAGAATTTGAAGCAATAAACCATTTACGTTGCAGGCCCATCCGAAATACGAATTCAAATATGGCGTGGAGGACTTCCACACGGGCGACTACAAGTCCCAGGAGGAGACGCGTGACGGCGACGTTGTCAAAGGCTCTTACAGCGTTGCCGAGCCTGACGGTACCCTTAGGATCGTTCATTACACCGCCGACAAACACAACGGGTTCAACGCTGTGGTCACCAGGCACGGGAAAGCGATGCATCCCAGCCACTACTCCAACGGACACTCCATCGCCTATCACGGTCACGAAGGTCACGACTTCGGCGGAGGTCACTGAAGATCGGACCTAGCGTCGTTTATATTTATACCTCATTCCATGCCATATTTATTGTACCCTTTTTTTATTGTTAAAAAATAAACGTTCAATATGTTTACCTTATTGAAGAAGTAAGAGGTATTGGCTTAGATTTAGACGGAATTCTAGACAGTTTTGACGCTGCGGAGCTTCTCGTTTTAATCCAAAAATCTCGACACCGACGTAAATCAGACTAAACGTACCCCAGAGATCGGTCAGACTTCGCCAAAAACCGGAATTCTCTTCGATTCTTTCCATGCTGCTCTCCCACGCCTCCTGGCCCATGAATTTTTCCAGCAGTGTAAATGGTTTTCGAAAAATTTTCTTCAAAACCTTGCACTCCCACGGATCTTTGTGATAGACGGAAACCGTATATACGAAAATTGTAGCCCTCGATGCGACATTTGGTAGTGTTTAAACCGAAAGGCCATATTTTTCACGACTTTTAATTTACAGCCAATAATTTACCCCGATAAGGGTACCGGATATCAGGCACGCAGAAGAATACGATAAGAAAATCTATCAAACAATTCTAATCCCTCACATCCAATCTAAAAGAAAAACAAACGAAATTATATGAAATTACGTTTTACCCAAACTGCACAAACCCAACATCCCATTAAGACCTAGCGTATCCTGCATACCAATCACCAACAGAAAAATTTTCTAAATATTTAAAAAATATTTTAAAAAACATAGCAAATCAAAATAAACTTTACATCAAAGACTCGACAGACTTTAAACAAAAAATAAAAAAATTAAAAATTCCAAATAACTACGTTGTAGTTTCGCTTGATGTCGTATCATTATACACCAACATACCCTTCGAGCTTATCACACAAGTAATTAAAACAAAATGAGACAAAATTAAACTACACACAGATATTCCTCTCAATGAATTTTAACTGACTTTAGATTTTACACTAAAATCCACATTTTTTCAATACAATGTTATGGAGTATCTAGAAGAAAATGTTATTAAAAACATTCAATTCAATTTACCTTTTTTTTATCGATATGTCGACGATATCATAACTGCAATTACAAAAAGAAAAACAAACTTATTGCTAAACTCCTTCCATAATTTCCACAAAAGTTACAATTCACAATTGAAATTGAGAACCAAAATACTATTAACTTTTTAGACTTTTCCGTACATCACATACAAAATGAAATACGAACAAAATGGTATACTGAGAAAACTTAATCATCAAGTTATCTTAATTTTAAATCTAATCATCCCCTAGCCCAAAAAAAATCCATCATAATACGTCTCGGAGACGTAAACAAAAACCAACATCAAAATCCTTAAAGAAAATATATATCGCTACCATATATACCTGGATTATCAGGAAAACTCCAAATCATTTTCAAGAAACACAAAATTCAAATAGGACACAAAAGACAATAATTTACAAAAACATATCTCTTCACTAAACTCAAAGCAAAAATTCCAGTTGAAAAAAGAAGTAATATAGTATATGAAATTCCATGTTCTAATTGCGGCAGTGTATATATAGGACAAACAAGCCAATATTGAAAAAATAGCATAAACAGACATAAGCATGACAAAAGAAAATAAAACAGGCCTTCATACCCATTGCGAAAACACCAAACACACATTTAATTTTCAAAAAGTTAAAGTCCTACTAACAGAACCTAACACCAAAAATCCAAAAAAACAAAAAATCAATTAATTACAAAACCCATTCTAAAGACCTTAACAAAATATATCATTAAATTTTAAACTACCCAAATTAAATTATCCAATATATTTACTGATAAACAAGATCCGTACCTGCTTTGCATGCCATTTCAATCCGTATAAAATATTTGCTAACAATTTATTTTTATTTATAATATATTAACACAACGTCAAATGTCATCAATTGTTATGTATGTCACCTAGATAAAATAAGAATATTTTGAAAAAGATCGAAATTACGATCGAAACGTTAATAAATATTTAGAAGAATCACATTAATTGTTTTCGAGAAAGACAAATTGAAGAAAATATCCACGCGACGGCCCAAGAAACTATATCAGGGCAGTTCGTTTCCTTCAAATCAGTCGACACTGTTATGAACCAGGATGACGTAGTCAACTATCCCAAGGAATTTTTAAATTCACTGCAATTGTCTGTATTGTAAATGCGTCATTGAAAAAATGCTTTTTTATTTAATACGGATTTGTTTTGTTTGCTTTAAGATTATTTTATACAAAAGTTTAGAGCTTTTATTTATCGATTGAGGCAGTACGAAGGCTCCCGGGTCAGCTAGTAAACAATAATAACGTATTTCATTTCGTATAAAGCAGGCTACTATCCTGTTTTTGCTTTTTGCTTGCATTTTCGACAACAAAGGCCAAATAAGTGAGAAAGAAACCGAAAAGTGAAAAGAAAAACATTATCGGCATTATCATCTTCCGAACACCTCCGCGTTTAGCAGAGACATTTTTCGTGCCACCGGGAAAGCCCTTCCGCGCTATTCCTCAATCTCGAGTGGGGTCTCGGGCAATCGACCCAATTGCCCGGACGGCACAAAGGCCATCGCTAAATTGGAGAATTATTACTTTTCCCGGCCTTATTAGCCACGAGGTTATTTCTGATTTCACGTCTCCGCGCACTCCACGCCACTTCACGATTGTTTTATTTTCTTATCGCCTTTTCTTTGTTAGCTCGAGCGACGAATCAGAAGTGGGATTGCCTGACGAGGCAATCCTACTTCTGACGACGTTGAAGGAGCCGACGCGACAGATCCGTTTACCGGTAATAACCGCATAAAAGCGGTCGCTGTACAGGGCGTGCGATGAATCCGGTACCGAACAATGCCAGATTCGAGAGATGGGCGTGATGGGGAACACTTACTGTCCAGGTCGCATAATTTAAACCCAGAGACTCATTGTTTTCATGTTTATCAAATGAAACAAGTAATATGCACAAAATTTTGTGTAAAAAATAGAATACAGTATTGCAGCACACATAAGAAATGCTGTCAACGGCATATAGTGAATCTACTTTGAGCAAAGTGAAACAAATGATGTTGAAAAATCGTTAGAGAAGTGGCTGAAGACGTCGGCATGTCCATTGGCTAGTGCCATCCAAAGTTTTGGGCATGAAACGTGTAGCAGCAAAATTTTGAACAAAAGGGCAGTCGAAGGAGCATCGCTCAAGAGCTGTTAAACGACGTCAATGATGATCCTGATATGCTCAAAAAGGGTAACGAATCATGGGTATACGGTTATGACGTCGAAACCAAAGCCTAGTCGTCCCAATGGAAGAACCCAGAATCGCCAAGACCAAAAAAAGCACGTCAACTTCGATCAAATATTAAGGTTGTATTTTGCATCACGATGATGCACCTGCTCACTCATCGTTGCTTGTGTCTAACTTTTTGGTCATAAAGAAAACCAGAATCATGCCTCAGCCACCATATTCACCTTGAAAGGAAGGAGGTTTGGAACTATTAATGAGATAAAGAAAAATAGCTGGAACAACTCAAGGCTAGACCAGAAAGTGCTTACCAAAAGTGTGAAGGGGACAACGTTAATTTTGATAAATTAATAAATATCTTTTGATAAAACTTAAAAGTGACCTTACTTTTTGGACACACGTCGTACACGGCACAAAAGAAGAGTTGCTTACCGCCCTCAAAAGTCGTGGAGGCCCACAAATCCTTAATAATATTGACCCATTACACACATAACGAACGCCGTCTTTTTTCTCACAGGTTGAATGACACCAACCCAATCGAAAACATATGGGCGACAATGGTGTCGACGAAATTTTGTGCCTCAGGCAGCATGGGAACAATTGACGCTTGAAGAAAATGTCATATCTCCTTTCAGACTTCTAGCTGTGAAGGATGCGGACGGAGTGTACACAAAATATTAAATTACTTCCAAGTGTTTATTCTTATTAAATTATGTAATATTCTTGCATTCACTTAAACCTAATTATTTTAAAGCTGTTTACTTTTGTTATTTTTCAAATAAATACGTTTTTTAGTGTTAAAACGTACACGAGATCAACCAAAGATAAGCAATAAAATTTAACAGAATACTGAATACTCTAATACCTATACGATGCAAACATAATATACATTTTTTGCAAAATATCTCAAATTTACCGTTTATTGCTCACAATTTAGAATGAAATTCAAAATTTAAATCGAAAATAAGTCGCAATTCAAAAAATTAAAACTTATTTTAAAGTAAAGTAAAGTAAAAAAAATATATATAAAAGTGGTAATACTGATCGTGAAGTTGCAAGCGAAAACCAAAGTAAGACAACTGGAATACTGGACCACTGTTTCAATAGGCTTCGTTGGGAAACCAAACTCCATATGAACGGCAAATTTTGAAGTCGATAGTTTGAAACTTCGGATATTTATGGTGTTTCCTAGCGACTCCCGAAAAAACGGCCGAAAATCGTTAAAAAATAATGGCCGCCAGGTTCAAACGCAGCCATTTTTTAATATTTTGTGTAGTACGTGGGCAAGTACTTCAAGCTTCTCGACAGTTATTGCTATTTTCGTATACTTTTTCTCGTCTGATTTCCAATTGGTGCGGCGTTTTTTTTTCTTACGTTAAGTAAGCAGTCTATGCTAATACGAAAAACTGCGGTTTAAATCTCGTCGTTGCCCGCACAGACTTTCGAATCGTGCCCCAAATGGGATCGTTATTGGGTCAAAGGTCCGCGCTTATTGCATTACCAGCGATTTCCCGCGCAAACAATGGTGGACGGTTGCGAAACCGGACCTCGAACTGTACCTTTTTTTCACCCGGAGTAAGTCCGTCGCGTGGTTGGGAAACGGAGGTTGAAAAACCGTCGAATGGCGGGCGTGAAACAAGGTCATTGCTAAAGACGCCGAGTGCCCACAGCACTGTCCGAAGTTTGCGAAGCTCAATTGGCCAAAACTAAACAAACCGAACGCGGAAAATTCGCAAACTGCTGCGAACATGATAGTATGTCCA